TCTTTCTGTTGAGCCACATGATTCTTGCTTAGGATTTTCTGTAAGAACTTAATTTTCAAGAAGCCTGAGGGAGGGATCTCATCTGCATGGAAGAAATTAATGTGAAATGATCAAGGAAGCAACGTGTGGTTGGGCAGTATCACTTTTTCTTTATTTTTCATCCATTATTCCCAAGTATCCCTTATCATTCACTGGTTTTCAGTTATGGTTAGATTTATTAATTTGGTAATACCACTAGTCAGGCACACAAAGATTGTTGAATTCTTTTCATCTATCAATTTCAGTGTCTGAGTGTAGTATTTGTTAATAATAAAAAAATAGATGGTAAGCTGTAAAAGATTAAGAGATGGGTAATTTCAATATTACAAATGATTATTATTTTGCCCTCAGTGTGGCCCACCATGTATTTTGCAACAATTTCATATTAATTGGATATCAAAGCTATTATGAATGCTTACAGTTCAATCCATTATTTTGGTATTAGCAGCTAGTAATTTATTTTTTATACCGTAATTTATATTCCATATGTTCTTTTTCATTTTATTTGTTGTTGTTTTTTTTTCTTTTAGAACGGGCAGTATATTAACACACATGTTATTTAACAACAATACCATACATTTAAGGCTGTAAAGCAAAGAATTCTCAGAGCTCGAAAATTCAACAATCATTATGAGTGAAGCAGAGATGAAGTTCATTTTTCTCTCCAGAACCTTAACCTAAAACATATATAAAGAGCATTAGCTCCTCCTCGTTTTCCCTGTATCCAGTCTGTAAATAACATATCCCCTCTTTGGCTGCACGTAAGTCAAAGTTTTCTTAGAGATTTGAATGCATTGGATCAGCATAGTTATTGTGTTCTTCATAGTGAAGATGCTCCCTTGTGCATTGGCTACTCATGTGATAGTCTTTAACACTATGTAAGGTGATGCACTGGAATAACTTCTTATCCCAAAGGTGACGAGACAGCTTATCCATGGCTTGGAGTGGCTTAGTGGATGGCACGCGTAATTTTGACAGTTTGACTAGCCTCATTGGCTACAAAGCAACAATTAGGAAGTGAGCAACTCACAGCTGACTGTGTAGTGACTTCCATAATCTCCAATATTCTTCCTTCACCACAATAACAAGGTATTATAACAGCTGAATATGTGTATTGTGATATGATTTGGTATATTGCGTATGTATGAATGTGTGTTTGTGCTTGCATGTGTGCTTGTGCGTATGTGTGTATTAGTATGCATTTGAGTGTGTTGTTGCATGCTTGTGTATGTGCTTGGAATTATGTGTATGGAACAGATGAAGGATTAGAGAAAACCATAATGCCCAGTAATCAAATTGTATAATTTCTTGTATAAGTTCTTGGTATTGATACCTGAAATTGTGATGACAGAGAGGGACTTTAAAAATACAAACTAACATCACATATATGTACCACCAAGTACTTTCACCAGTGGTACAGCTAGTGTGTCTCATGTGGAATGTCTTCTGTTGTGCACTCACTTCTTTTTTAGATACTATACTATTTATGATGTAAAATTTTGATGAATTTTGTGTGTTACATTTTCCTTGTAATTTGTATGATATGTAAATAGACTGTGTACTTTTGTAAAATCTTGTTTAATTTCCTTACTCTTAGACTACAAGTTGGACTATGTAATTATACACATTCAAAGAGATATGAACTTATTTGGATATAGTCATACAAATATGACAAAGTACTGTATTCATCCATGTTTTCTCTTTGAATTTCAGCACAGAATTGCTATTGTGGCCTTCACTCTCATACTTTCAATGTACTACACAATCACTGTTTTTAGCTGGTGTGACTTGATAACTGACTTGTCTTGCCTAACAGTAAAGATGAATGTTTTTTTTTCATTAAAAATCAGGGAGTTATTACACTTCTAGTTTCTTTTTTAAATAAAATATATGCTCAGTCACTTTTAAAGAGAATTAATACAGATTTGATACTATATATAAGAAAATATTGATAGTTTTAACGTGCAGAAATGACAAAATGTTGAAATTACATTTTGATTGTAATTATGAGTAAAGTCAATATAATTTTTTGTTAGATGGCCCATATTTAATATAAAAAATACAACATTTCCTGAGTTGCTATATCCAGAGATGGGCTATACTGACATCCATATAAATCAATACTCTTGTATTGGTATCAGCATCACCTCAGCTACATAATAACAGTATTGTTTTAACAGTATAACTAAGGTGTTTTTCTCAGTGAGTAAAATAGAATCATCAATACATTTACATTGCCAATTTGAAATTTAAGTTCAATTACCCTTTTTGTATGTCTTTGCACATCATGTGCTGCAGAAAATAAACAAGGGCACTTTTTTAACAAACATGTATTGCTTATAGTTAGGAAAAGTAACTAGATTAGCCTTTTATAAATTAAAAAGTTGACAAAAGACAGAAAAAAAATGTTTTTAAATTCTGTGAAGGTTACCATTTAGCAACTTCCCTTGATCTTCAGCAATTTAATATTGAAACAAAAAAGAACGGTAAATGACTGTGGCCAACTTTCCCATTAGTAAATGTAAGATTTTTTTGATAACCTGCAGAGCCTGATAAAGAATCCAATACGAAGTCCAGAGACTGTATTTGTTACGTTAGGGATGGGGAAAAAAGGATCCCCCTGAAATATTTAAAATAGAGTACTCATTTCATTAGAGGAGCCAGTCTTTGATCCATCAAATAATTGCATTCAAGAAATGATTCTTCAGTATGACTTGCAAGTTGCCTCTACAGAAATTGAAAACTAAAGGAGATTAATAAGACGATATTTAGGTAGTGTATTCTCCCGGAGAATGGCCACCTTTCCCTCCTCTTTACATCATAAAAAAATATCGGTTAGAGATAACTGATTGATTCTTTTTGCATGATATAGAGTATAGAATTGCGCTCCGTTATATATATAATTTTAACCTTGCTCCCACATAGGGGGGGGCACCCCCCAAAAAGTTGAAAAAAATAGTTTTTTGTTTGTTTGTCTTCGGTACATCCCAACTATCACAGTTCTTTACTGAATATTCCCCCAAAATACTTGTGTTAGATCAACCCTAGCCAAAGGCCATGTAAATTGCCGATTTTTTAATTTCCTTTTTCTTTTTTTTTGCGGAAGACAGCTTGACATAGAGAACTATTTTTTATTTTTTCTCAGCATTAAAATATTATTTTTTGATTAAGGCAAAAATTCAAAAATTGGCCATTTACACGGCCTTGGGACGCCGAGGCTCTAGTGAAAGCAACAAACTGCATTTGAATCGCATGAAAATTATGTGAGTTGGGATGTACCGAAGATTAAAAAAAAAAAAAAATAACGGAGCTACGGCGTTTTGTATTTGGCCCCTTGCCAAAGTTCGTTATCTCTGTTATTTCTCTCTGAATCTAATGATATTATATATAAAAAAATGCTTGTTTAGTGTACTTTGCAATGCAATGATTACCAAGTCA